TTTATAAAAGCAATTATTGAGAGATCTTCCGTCTTTTTCTGTCTTCAGAGGAGCATGTTTTTCTTATAAATTCTGTTGCTGACTTTTTAATTAAGTTCATACATGAAGAATTGTACCAATTATTCAGAAACTTCATACTTAACTATTTCTTAGACTCCTAAAATATTGGATATAGTCATACAGTTATTGCAGAAACCTGTCAGTACTTTCTAATGAAGAATTAAATGGAACTGAGATTTACTTTAATTTTATGTATTTTTAAGTTATCATCTATAATATTTCAAATGCCCTATACAGGAAAAGTACACAGAGAAATGAATAATTTTTTCATCTCTAAAGCATATAGTTGTTACTTTTTCTTTAAAAGAAAGAGTATAACAGAATAGTTGCTATTATCAAGGTTAAAGGCAATGCTGACAAAATAAGTCTTTTGTTCTTAAGTCTTGCTTGTAGTATAAGTTTTGGTCTTTTCTTCATTTTCTATTAAAAGTTAAAATTTTGTTTTATGTTTTAGGTAAGAGTCTGATGGATGTGCTGTAAACAGAGTGGATGAAATGTTAAGTTTTCACATTAAGAGAGATTTAATTTTGAAATGTATGATGTTGGCTATGTCTCATACCCGACTCCTAGTGAACACAACACATAGACAAAATTGGTCTTGAACTTTATTCTTTCTCCTCAAGATTAGTTATCTATTTGCACTGTGAAGTTTCAAATGGAATATACAAGCTACCACTACAATAATTTCATGTTGGAGGGCAGAAAGAAGAGCAGGTTTTTCTTAAATTCCCCAATGTTCCAGATGGATCATTGATGTTCTCCACATCCAAAATCCTGAAAATAAGCTGTGCTGACATCTGTGGCATAACGAAAGAGTCAGCACCTGGATCTTACTCTCCAGAAAGAAAAAAAAAGTGGAAGAAAGGGGTTGACCTCTACAATGGAACTTGGAGATTGAGATTTTAATTGCTGCCAAAAGGCTGAAAACCCCTGAAAATAGATAAATAGATAGATAGATAGAGAGATGATAGATAGATAGATAGATAGATAGATAGATAGATAGATAGATAGATAAGTAAATATCCCTGAGACCTAAATGAAGTAATATCCGTCAAATGATTTTTGTTTCCTTCCATTTACCAGACTGTCAGAGAGCATTAGAATCATATATCTAAGCTTTGTCAACAAGAAGAGCTTAAACATATTTGCTTGTTAATATTAATTTATACTGAAATTTCACATTCTCATCCAGCCTCTTGAATCCAGCAGGTGTCATATTACAACACACATAAAAGTACAATATTCATTACCAGATTTCAAAATCATCCAAATCCAGGATACTTGGATAGGTCTCAGACTAATCAATCAGTGGAATGAAAGAGCTTTGTGGTACCTCATTTGCAGGCAAGCTTTGTCTGACTGAATGATTCCTCTGAGGTAGCAATATGAGGAAATGACATGGGAGCCTCTCAGTAATTTTTGGAGGGTGTCAGCTATTAAGAAACAAAGCCTTCAGGAACTCCTGGTTGCCCAATGAATACTTGCTTTTTCAAAGCAGACAGTGTACAGCTCATATCTCAGGAATTCTACCACATTCCATTGTACAGAAGGAAAAGAGGGACTATGCAAAACTGGACTTGAATTACCAAGGAATATTATTTTTCTGTATTTACTGTAGAAGTTGCTGTGCTTTGGTGTTTTATTTAATGATCTTTTAAATAAAGAGCTGTTTGGAAAAGACAACTTGCCTTTTGTTCTGTTTAAAAGAAGGGATCAAAAAATAATGCCATACAGAGCAAAGGTATATGTTTATATACCCACAAATGAAGGGTTCAATCAAATTATTCTGAATTTTGTAGCATATAAAGTATAACTTTGTGGAATATGTAACTGCAGAATACTATAGTACCATAGTCTTATAGTATTCTATGTCTGATTGCTCCAGAAATAGACAACAATAACACTAATTTCTAAATTATTACCTTTAATATGCAAAGACACTGCAGTCCTGAAACCGCAGCTGTTTTGAAGATGAAATCCTTGACAAATACTTCTGTTCTTCTCAAAAGTTCTTTTACTGATGGACTGATAGCAGATTTTTTTTTTTTTTATACTGAAGTTAAGAGTTACTATTAGAATGAGGGAGTTGTGAAATTTAAAATTTGAGTTTTTTAATAAATATCCCATGCCCTTCCACTTTACCTCTGTGGTTTTAGGTTCCTGCATTACAGTGTTG